AAAAAATACATATAAATATTTGCTATTTATTTATAAACATTTGATCGAATGAACGTTATTTTCAAATAAAAAAAAAAAAACTTGACCGTTTTAATATAAAGTCGCAATCTTTGAATCGGTTAACGTTTACTTTGTTTTTTTTTAAGCTTATTTTGTTTGTTTTTATTACTTTATAACTAAATCAACAGACTTTTTATTTGTCTTAATGTTTGTCTTAGATTTAATATCTAATTTGTGTAAATTTCTAAAAAAAATGTAGAGGGTAGCTTAATGAATAATCATTTTAAATTAAATTTCGTGGCAATGCCATGTTATATCTTTAAAAAGCATTTCGATTAAAATCTCAGGCTGGATATCCAACGAGAATGCTAATCAGACAAATCTAGCTCGTAATCCTATAGAGGCACTTGAAATAAAGTCTTATGTTGGATGGCCAGTGGAATAATAAAGTTTGAAATTATAGGAAGAAGAGTAAACTTTATTTTTAATAAAATCTTTTTTGCAAACTAGCAAATTAAAACAAAGTTAGTAAACTGTTAAAAACCTTCAAAACATTAAAGTTTAATTTTTGAACAGTGAACCTATTTAATGTAATTTTATAAATTTTTTCTTAAGTTCTTTTTAAAACATTTAAAATAATTAAGTTATTGTTATTTTATTTTATTTTTTTTTGTACGCAGTTTATTTCTATTGACGCAATGAAAATGTTTATCTGAGAGGAATCAAATTTTTTGAACTATATAAGACCTTAAACGAAATGAAACGAATTTTCCATTGGTCGATTATATTCTCTGTTGTGCTGTCTTAAGTGATAATTAAGTAAAATGGTAACTAAAGTGTTATTACGTAATAAGAAAAGTAAAACGTTATTAAGGTGTTGCGATATAATGCGCAAGGCATTAATGGGAGAAGGATAAACCTTATTGTGCTGAAGTCCTCAATTATATTTAGTTTATTCTTTTTAGCTTAATCTTTATTTGTTAAGTGTAATTTATTCTTAACTATACTTTGCTATATCTTCAGTTATATGTGCTATGCCCTTAGTTATATATGGTTTATCATTAATTAGAACTGGTTTAGTATCAATAAGACGTGATTTATTATGAATTTTATGAGGTAACTATATGGATTTTGTTCTCAATTATATGAGGTTTATCATCAATTACATGAGGTTTATTCTCAATTACATGAGGTTTATTCTCAATTACATGAGGTTTATCATCAATTAAAAGTCAATTATTAATAAAATGCTCACTGCTACTTTTCAGTTTTTGTTAAAACGTTCCGTAAGAATATTTTTATGTTAATAATGGTTACCTGTTGCTATAAATAGTTCAAATATGCTGGTTATTTAGTGTCAATCAACGTGTATTTGTTAAAATTAGTTTTATATAAAATAGTAGATTAACATCAAATTTAAATGTTAGCAAATTTTTTTACTGATAGAAAATTTTATTAAAGGATAAAAGAGATAACAAATAAATACAATGCTGCCCGGCCAATCAAGAACACTTTAAGTGTAAAAACTGAACTTTTTTTATTTGGTGTTGAGTATGATTAATTATAAGGTTTAGCACCTGTAAATCAACGAAGTCTTATATAAAGAATGTTTGGTCCTAACATCAAAACGAACATAATAATATATTAGCACAATGGCAGAATATTTAACAGTTTTTGCCAAATATCTGAAAATCTTTATTTTTGCACTTAGGGTGTTCTCGATAGACAGTACAGTATGTAGAGACCAACACAATGTCGAATCTGAAAAGCTAAAGGCTTTAAATCAAATAAAATAATAATTTTCTGAAAAAAAAAAAGATTATTTTAAGCAAAATTTTAACCATATAAAATTTTACTATAATCAATTTGCAAGTATCAGATAATATTAAAAATACAATTTTACTTCTATTTAATACTGAAAAAAATTTTTTTTTTTTCATTTTTATTTTTTCTGTTTGTTAAATTGTCAATAGTTTTAAAATTATTACTACATATTGAAAAACTAAATTAATTACACAAAAACTGTATCCTATTACGTCACTGTGAAAATGAATACATTGGAAAAAATTAAATAGCACCCGAAACGTTAATGATAGATATGTAACAATTGTTTTACTTCCGTGAATAAACAAAAATGGTTACTATTTTTTAATTGTAAATCTACTTTGAAAATATATATAAACATATAAAAGAAAAACTTTTCACTAACTATATAGGGTAATTTGAAAGCTTTTTTTTTTAGGTATATTTAAGAGATCAATAAGCTAAGAAAAACTCACTTAAATTTTTATTAAAAATAAAATATTTCTAGATAACAATTCTTTAAAACAATAGTTTTCGGACACGTTTAAAAGGACATACTAATATTTGTTTACCATTGTTAAAATCAACAGATTGAAGATTTTATTCAAATACACGAGTGTAAATATATACAGTTAAATTCCGCTGACTCGAACACCGGTTCGGTCCCTTGAAAGCAGGAACAATGGTTATACTTTAAACCGTTCTCTTAGATCTCTTTAAGATTTTATTTTGAATACATAAATTATAGCTCTGATTTAGTTCATAGAGTATTTTCGTGTAAATAGGCGCAAAACAACATCAGTGCATGCACGCACACATATATATATATATATATATATATATATATATATATATATATATATATATATATATATATATATATATATATATATATATATATATATATATATATATATATATATATATATATATATATATATAACAAAATTCCTTCTGTTTTGAAGAGTAATTTACTAAATAATTTAAAAATATATTGAGCAGTTTTTCAAATAATAAATCGAAGTTTTTTACTTTTATTTTTTCATTAAAATTGTTGAAAAACTTTCTGACAACCAGACTATGCCGTTTTAGTAAAAAATGACTTTAATTCCAATTAATTAATTAAAAATCATTTAGTTCGAAATAAATTAATCCAATAAAAAAAAACCTATATCTGGTACGGGTCTACCCATTAATGTAATTAATTAATGAAATTTAAACCTTAACAACTCATTAGTAGATAACTTTATTAATCAATGTTAAGTAAAAATAGTAATATATTACATATACAATATATTCATATTTACATATATAGTTTTACTTTAAGTGTAACAGTACTACGTTGTATGTGTAATTCATATCTGTGTGTTATATATTCTTAGTTGTGATATATATTCTTAAGTGTAATTTATATTATTAGGTGTGTTGTATATTTTAAGATGTGTTATATATTAATGAGTAATATACATATTTTGAGTATGATATATATTCTTTAAGTGCAATATATATTTTTAGGTATAAAAATGTATACTTAAACATATTATGTTTGTTTTTATCATTATCATAGAAATTTAAGCTTGTAATTTTGAAAATTGAACTTTTTTGCATAACACTTTTTATTAAGTTACTACAGTAAAACAACTTGTACAAAAATAATAAAAATAATTTGAATTTCATTTTAACTAATCATTTTTATATTTTTTATGTTTCTTTTTTTAAGACTATTTTTGTGTTGATATGAACCTTAATTTAAAAAATGTCTTGATACTAAACACACCACCAAAAACATTTAATGCTAAAATTCTTTCCAAAATTTTTTTTAAAAATTTACTTAACAGAGTTTTGTTATTTGGATGATTTTAAACTATACTAAATGTTCTATTTTCATTATGCTTCTCAAAGTTAAGCAGATGAGCTTGTTATCAATATTTGAATGAGTTTTTGACCGCAATTGATTACTTTACTTTGTGCAAATTTTATCTTAAGAACAAACATTGCAACATTTAACACTCAAAATAGCATCATTTTATGACTGCTTCTTATGGAGCAGGCTATACATACATACATACATGAGTGTATGCATACAACTACATACATACATACATACATACATACATACATACATACATACATACATACATACATACATACATACATACATACATACATACATACATACATACATACATACATACATACATACATACATACATACATACATACATACATACATACATACATACATACATACATACATACATACATACATACATACATACATACATACATACATACATACATACATACATACATACATACATACATACATACATACATACATACATACATACATGCATACATACATACATACATACATACATACATACATACATACATACATACATACATACGACGCAGCAAACATTTTATGGTGGAATTTTAGTGGGATACATGCATTTTGAGCGGTCCACTCTATTGTTTACTGAACGGTATCTTAGCGGATCACTATTGGCAGCTACCAAAAGTGGCCAGCCGATGACTTTCTACTATCCAGCAAACATTGTTGCCGTGGATTTGAAGTGAATCAATATAGGTACTTTGAGCAAATCATTTAAATTTTGCACATTGGTTACTTAGTAGATCAATAGTAGTATCCTTTTTAAGTAGCCAGCCGATAATTTCCAACTAGTGATACAGTGGTTAGTCATCGGCTAGCTAGTTTTGGTGGCTACCACTAAAGTTTAACCAAGATTAGCAAAATAACAGTGGATCGCTCATGTCTATAAAGATCCACTGAAACTTCATAAAATAATTTTTGTTGGGTATATCCCATGTTGGAAAGTTATTTACTGGCTTCTTATAGCGGGTGTCACTAATGGTCCACTAAGTAACTGATAAGCAAAACTCCAAAAAATCGCTCAAAATACTGATAAAGGTCCAATGCAAATCCAATTCAAAAATTTTTGCTAGGTAAGTTGATATATGCATTTAGCATAGTATAATATGGTACAACATTGTATAACATTATACAATTCTATCTCTCTTTCTCTTTGCTGAATAGTTTAATATATTATATATATATATATATATATATATATATATATATATATATATATATATATATATATATATATATTATATATATATATATATATATATATATATATTTAACATTTATCGAACAAAATTTTTTTTAGATGCATAAAAATTATATAAAGATATATACAGTCATTTCTCTTTCATTTCTGGCAATGGTTGTTACTGTAGTGTGTAATGATAAAAAACCTGTTAAAATGTGTGGACCTGGATTGTTCAATCTCCAAATAAGGATATGTAGCCAAATGACAAACTTAGGCGCTAAAAGTCGAAAAATTCGTTTTGTTAAAGGTGATATAAATTTTTAGAGTCTGATTTGTTTTTGTATGTGTAAATATTTTAAATTGAAGAGTTTTCTCAAAAAATTGCAAATAGTTTGCTTTTACAGATAATGACACCTTGACAGGTTTGATTGTGCGGCTGTTTGCACTTCAATCTTTGCATGTATACTTATAAGGCTGGCGTGAGAGAGGGATATATGTGTGATGTTAAGGAGGGGGGGGAGTGAGGTTGACACCCGCTTTCTCCCCATTCAATGAATGTTTGCACCATTATTTAGAAAATTGGGACCTTTTTGATCCTCATTCGGCATAATGGGACTTTCTATGTCTCGTGGGAAAATTGGAGAATTTGAGAAGTTTTTTTTTAGTTTGCAATACTTGCAAAACAACCTCCTCCCCTATCCTACCCCCTCCCTTCCCACACACACACACACACACACACACACATACACACTTAACGCTCTTCCGTCAGCTTTGTACACTTATCTTGAGGTTTAAAATTTTACTGCTAGGCAGTAGCTCATTTACTAAAACAAGGGAACAATTTTCTAATAGACCTAATTTCACTGACATCTGAAAAATAAAAAATTTTTAAATATGTAAAATGTCTTTCTTACCTAGAAATTTCGTTAGCTTTTATAAATTGAAAAAATTATTCTTAATAATAACTATATGCTATTCCTTATTTTTGTGTATAAAAAAATTTTGTTAGCATAATTTTATTTTCAGATTACAGCTGGTTCACTTAAATTCTTCTTGTAATAGCAAAAAATTTTATATATATATATATATATATATATATATATATATATATATATATATATATATATATATATATATATATATATATATATTAAGTTTTTTTATTTCCTATTCAAACTTATTAATAATTTTTATAGATCTTTCGAACACACCATCGAAGTTTTTTTTAAATGCTCATGCAGCTAACAGTTTTCTTAAAATCAGAACGCTTCGTAAAAGAAGTTATACGGGTGAAGATGAAACTTTACTTCACAACGAATGTTGTGTTAAAGCTTGTACGAACGAACATATAAAAGCTTATTGTACATGAGTTTTGGAGATAAAAGATTATTGTTAACTATCTTTCTACATGAGTACGTTTAAGAGATAGAAGAGCATCGGTAGCTATCATCCCTACATGAGTACATATGGTGACAAGTAGAAATATTAATAAAATCTTTATTAGCGCTAATTGAAATAAACAAAAGCATAAATAGTCTTTTATGGAATCCAGATTCGAATGTTGTTGAATAACAGCAAAAATTTCTAAAGAAAGAAAAATCTTTATTTAAAGTTGTAAAAAAACAGAAGAATAGTATTTATTGTCCAACATTTTAAAATACTTGAAGCAGTAAACTTTTTTTATAACAAGTATCACATTTTTAAAGTATATATGCATAAACATTTATGTATATTATTAGTATGTGTATATATAAGCATATATATATATATATAAATATATATATATAGTGTATATATATATATATATATATATATATATATATATATATATATATATATATATATATATATATATATACATATATATATATATATATATATATATATATATATATATATATATATATATATATATATATATATATATATATATATATATATATATATATATAAGCATATATGTATATAAGCATATATATATATATATATATAATATATATATATAAGCATATATATATACATATATATATATATATTGTAAATAATATATATTTGTAAATAAAAAAATCTTTTAATTTAAATAAAACTATATATATATATATATATATATATATATATATATATATATATATATATATATATATATATATATATATATACATACATACATACATACAAACTATAACGACATGAATATTTATATCATTCACTCTCAGTAATAAAGAATTATATATTACATCGTGTAAGTTTTAACTTTTTTATTTATTATTAACAAAGTGTTTATAAACTTTATTTAATGGAAAACGTAATAAGGGGTCGTCCATAAATTGCGTCACAAAATTTTTAATCGCTTTAAACCCTCTCCGTCACAACATCGTGACTCTTTAGTAATAAGTTCGTACAATTTGTCACAAAACCACTATTCAATACTTCACCGAAGGCATGTCGTAATTTATAGACAACCCGCTTATAGTCCTCTTTTTGTGATTAAAAATATTAGTTACCAAGTTAAAAGTTTTAAATTGAAAATACTTGTTATTTAAAGACTTGTAAAGTATCGCCATAATAGTGGTGTTTTTTTATCTAGTTTGAAAATAAAGTAAAAAAACATGATTATGATTCAATCCAAAATATATCGCATATTTTGTTTACGGTAAAAAAAAAAATTGTATGAGGGAAAGAATTTTCATTTGTAATAATTCATTCAGTTTACTAAAATGTTAAAAATTACTTTAACTTATTTTATGAAAAAACTTATTTTCGTTGCATTAAATAGACAACATTTGACGACATGCAATAATCCTAATATCCATCTTGGCAATCGGAGATGTAAACAGTTGCAGTTAATCTTTTCATTATATTTATATACACATATTAAAGGATGTTATATAATGGTTTTATCACGCGTGTGTACATTGTGCAAAAACCTCAGACGAACAAGCGTTTTTTAACATAAAAACGGTATAAAAAGTAGGGCTGCCGAGAGTTTTAATGATATGGATATGGCAACGATTAGGCGCCAGTATGCTTATACGGGCGCCTAATTGTTACATAATATTAAAGCAATTTTAATTATAATTATGTATGCTCATTCACGTTATTTTACTTCTGTATTACCATGAACCGCATCTGGATTAAATAACACTTATGCAACACATTAAACATACAATGAATAGGGTTGTTAGACATTTTTTAAAAAACTAATATTAAAAATACTCTTTTTTTGCCTCATAGTTTGATGGAGTCTTCAAATAGAATAAAACCTTTTTCAAATAATTAAGTATTCAGTAAATATTCCGTAGTAATGTAAGTATTCCGTACAGATGTTTTTAAAGAGATCATTAGCGTAGAGTATCAATTCACGAGCTTTTATATTACGGTAAGCCGGTTAGTGATTTTGTAAACAAATGTGTGAAAATCTTAAAGAACCTGTCTTCATAATGTTCTCAATCGAGTTTGTTGAACAAAATGATTAAGCGCAATTTGAGTCCAAGACCGTTGTTGTTTTGAGTCTGTACCAAAATCAGATTTTGAGTCCAAAATCGTTGTTGTTTTGAGTCTGTACCAAAATCGAAGAATCACAACAGTTTCAGACAACTTTAAAAATCTTATTAAGACTTAATTGAGCATGTCGCTGGTTAAGTTTGAAGCCATCTCTACTTCAAACAAGGCCAAAATTGGTTTCCTGTGATTGATTTGCAACTAGTTTTATAGCGGCAATTCGAGATGATCATCTAGTGTCGAAAGTTTGTGAAGCAAAACTCTGCTCAATTTTTGCAGAACCTTCCTAGCCGAACTACATCTAAAGTATATATAAGATCCTTGTAAATACTGGAAAATGCAAAGATTCAATTGCACATATTCCAGCTAAATTCAGTCTATGAGCGCTACAAAAACTATAGGTGGATTTAATTGTAAAATTAGTGCTTGAGCCATGATGTAATTTCTAGCCATATTTGAACCGTTATTGTAAACTTGGCTAGGGTTTTTTTTCCAAACCAAGTGTCACTTTTATCAGTACTTCACAAATAAAGTATCCGCTCTCATTTCTCTCAGTCTTTGACACATAAAAAACCAGTCTTTTACCTTAAACTTTTTTTGTTCACTTCGAGGTGCAAAAAATATATAATAAAAGTGATCTTTGTGTGATTAACGAGGCGTCGCACAGGCGATGACTGTAAAATACACTACTTCTAACATTCTAACTTATGACATGTGCAAATTTGTACATGGGCAAAATTGATCTTCGCCTGTCGGTTTTTTTTATACAATAATACAGAGAAAAGAAATTATTTTATATTGGATATTATTCAAGGACAGATGCATTAGTACTGGAGCAGTACATAATACAAGAATATTTTAGGTGTATATTCAAAGTTGGTACAATCATAACAATTCTATTTCTATTTATTTACACTTTTGCCGATAAAAAAAAAATTTTACAATCGTAACTTATAAAAATAATAATTACATGACCGGGGCTAGAAGAAGACAAATTTAGTCTTATCATTAAGCCCCAAAAAATGCAAATTCTGACATAAATTTTTTGGGACTTCAGTCCTCTGGAAGTTTTATCAAGTATATTTAATACCAATGATAAATTGAACGTACTGTGTACTTTCAATTTATCATTAGCATTAAGCAGGCTTGTACTGTAACAACTTATAATAATAACTGCAAAATGAGCTTAATGTAGGGTTTCAAAAGCAGATTTTTGCAACAGTCCCTTACAAATTAGTTAGTCGGTCACTTGATACATTTTAGTCGGATGATTTTAAGTTTTGAGGTATTTTGTTTATATTTAGAAATCAGTTGGTTCTATTTAAGGATACGCCCCCATCATTTTGTTCCTAGATTTACCTGCGCATACAAGTCATAAAAACATAATGACATTATATTTATGGACAGAACTTAAATGCCAAAGTTATGTTGCGTGTTGAATCGTCTATTTTATTTTCCACATTTTCATTAGTATATTTTTATTGCAATGTTTATAGATTATAAATTTATTGTTAAATATTGGCGTATCTACATGACCCATAGATATGTTGTTGTTTTTTTTATACTGTTATTTATTTAAAATATTTGTATTTTTAGCAAACAAATTTTCATAATGGACTTTGAAATATCGTTAAGCAAAAGCGCTCGTTTTGCAAATACTACATCCAAAAGGGGACGACAGAATAAGCGCAAATTTCAATTTCTTTTCAAGTGCGAATGGCGTAAGTGCGAACTGGCATAAGTGCAAATTGGTTTAAGTGCGACCAGGCATAAGTGCAAAGCAGTTACAAAAACAGGCACAAGTGCAAATTTGCATAAATGCGAACTGGCATAAGTGCGCCGAATAAACTTGCAAACAATGGCATAAGTGCGAACTGGCATAAGTGTGTATTGACATAAGTGCGAAATTATGCCAATATTTGCAATTTTGTTCGGCGCACTTATGTAAACTCGCACTTATGACTGTTTTTGTAACTGCATCGCACTTATGTCAGTTCGAACTTATATCAATTTGCACTTATGCCACTTTGCACATATGCCAGTTCGGAGCTATGCCATTTTTGCAACGCTTCACACTTATGCCAGTTCGCACTTATGTCAATTTGGGCTTATTCAGCCTCCCGTCCAAAAGCGCTAGTTTTGTATGAGGCAAAAATGCTTTATTTTGAAATTCAACTTGCGAAATACTATATTTTGGAATGAGTAATTGCAAAATGAACATCGGCGATTATTGAGACCAGCCAAACATTTTATGATACAATTTGATACAGGTTCTGATAAAAAAAACTTTTATTAATAGTTGTGGATAGTGCTTCCAATACCGATACCATTTTTCAATACCGGTTTTTTGGTACTTTATAATTTCAATACCGGTAATACCGGTATATTATGGTACTGAATTGAATTACCGGTATATGAAATGAATTACCGGTATATTTCGGTACATGAAATGAATTACCGGTATATTTCGGTACTGAATAATTTCAATACCGGTAATACCAGTATTATACTGGTATTAAACTTTTTTTTTAAATTAGGGGAAAGGCGCCTATGATGGCATACTTAACTTTGAAGCTTTATTATTCAGTATCCTGAAGACTAACTATAATAATTTTGATATGGATACATTCCTTGTTACATGTAGAGCAATAATAATCTTCAGAGTTTTCATCAGTTTTGTTTTTTTTATAAGTTGTTCTTATTTAAATTCTTAGTTGTTTAAAAAAAGCACAAGTCGCCATCATAGGCAACCACTTCTCCTATGTCGGCATAGGGGTGGATGGGGCTTGTTAGGATCAAGGGTAACTTGATGATTATACTTAAACTTAGAGTCTTCCCTCAGAAAAGCCAGAAAATACCCTAATTCACCATTTCATGCTACGAAGCAGCATTGTAAAGTTTTGCGC